TTTAACAAAATAAAAAATATAAATAAACAAGTACACACGTGTTTAGTTTTGATTAGGTGAACAAGTTAAACTGGGTAAGTTTGGACCGATGATCCCAACCCGTGATGGGTTACCTTCTGTTACTTTTAAATCCCATATTGATGAATTTTAACTTTTACTTTTATATTCTCCTATAAAAAAATTGAATATTACCTATTATAAATATATTTATATAAAATTAAATTAAATGATTTTAAGCTTAATTATTTTTTGAATTATATTTAATTAAGTTTATATTATTTTTTATGGTACAATACTTTTTAAAATAAAATTATTATTTATTATAAATTTTATTTGACTTATAAAATTATATAGATGGTAATGGGTCGGGTTCAACCGAAATTGAGATCCGATCTGAATATATATTGTGAGATCTGAGATCCAAATTGGATTCGATTATACCATATCCGACCGAAACTATATCCGGTAGATCTAACAAATCCATTTTTTTTTTTACGATTTTTAAATTTTAATTTAAAATTGGACACAAATCGGACCCGACATATATTAAAATTTATTTATTTTATTAAAAAAATACTCCCTCCGTCCCTTAACAATCTATCTATTTTTCTATTTTGGTCCGTCTCATAAAAAAAGTATCCATTCATTTTTTTTAGTAATTGTACTTTCTCCTAACATTAAAAATACTTTTACAACTTATAATATATTACACAACTATAATTACTTTTATATCACACAATACTAATAAAGTTATTTTAGTTTTTTTTACTTTATTCATACCGTATCTCAATATAATATTAATATTCATAAAATTCCATGTAAAAAATAAACAGATACGTAGATAAGGGACGAAGGAAGTATTATGATAAAATAATGAAAAATTAAATTAAAAAATATTTTTAATATAATTATATTGTTAGAAAATATTTTTTCATAAGTAAAATTGATATATTATTAATACTATAAATCAAGTCCGGCTTCACCCTTAGACCCTAGATCCGATTCGGACCCAATTAGAATATCCCGAACATGACCCAGACCTAGATCCAGACTCAATACTCGAATAATTGGACCTAATTTCAAATAAATAGGTCGGATCTCGTGTTTATCGGACCTATTATCATCTCTATAAAATTATTGATACATTTTCAATTTATATTAATAATAAATTGGAAGTTTAATTTATCAAAATAATTAGGGTAAATTGTTTTATTTTTTTTTTTCGTCCTGTAACTGGACCCCCTTATCATTTAGGTCCCGTAGGTGGAGCATGTCGCAAACTAGTCCCACAAGTGAAATTTTTTTGTTGTTTAGTTCTTCGGTGCCGGAGACGCCCACGTGGCTCGCCTGAAGCCATGTGTCCCGCCAGGTCAGCGACACCTGGCGACACGTGGATTTTATTTTATTTTTTCATTTTTTTAATTTTTTTAATTTTTTTTAATTAGACCAAATAAAAAAAGGGAGACTTGGACTAAAATCCCTGTCAGTGTATTTTGCTTGCAATTCAGTCCCCATTGTAAATTAATTGATCTGCAGTCCCTACTTTATTGATTAGATATGTTATAACTCCCTTCTTGTATTTTCTACTCAATCACAATTGTATATGCAACATGTACTTACGATTGATTAATAAATACTCCAAATTTTATAATATATACCTACATTACCTCCCGCTCTACCCCCAGTATACGATTAGATAATTCCATTTAAATACTGCGTACCTTATTTTGTGATTTTTTTTTTAAAAAAAATCACAGAAAATATGCACGATTTAAAAACTGAAATATTCCCTAACTCCCCTCACTCACTCTCCGTTCAAGCCCTAGTTCTTCGAGAAGGAAATCGTCCCTCGCGAACTCGACGAGCAGCAGTAAGACATTTTGTTCAGCGAAATGGTGAGAAAAACCGCGAATCCGCCGCGATCCCCCACGAGGAGTTCAAAAAAGTAAGTGTCTGGTCGAAACCCTTTTCGTTTTATGATTTTGTTGACAATCGAATTTTATATCGTAGTTTACTCGATTGTTTGGGGTAGAAGCCTTGGTCCCGTGTTTGTATGCCTCGGTTTAGTGATGAGGAGCCCTGGGTGTTCGGTGTTGTGTTAGTTCAACGGGTGGTTTGAAATTGTTCGAATTTTTGGCCAGGAAACCCGGTTCGGCCGATTTTGGGTGATTTTATCTGTTTTTATCTTTGATTTTGATAATTTTGGAGATGTATATTTTGTTTAGTTACTCGAAGTTGCATATTTTAGGTTTTTTGGTGGATTGTTCGGTAAATAGTCATATTTGTGGGTTGATAAATGCGGTAATATTAGGCACCAGGAGTTTCATTTGTTTGGTCTAATTTGCCAATTAATATACCTGAACGGCACTGTTGTATACTCGGAATGCGTTTTTACTCCTGCTAAATTGTGAAAAACTTTTAACTAAATTAGAGATTTGGATAACGTGGACTTATGGTTTTTACTTACAGGCCAGGCAAGGAGCACAAATCGGTGATCAGCCGATTTGCATTACCTTTTTTTCATAATGAGCTGGCCAAACTGAAGCAACACATGAGAGACCAACACATCGCAGCTATAAAGATGACACCATTCGGGCATTTTCTGGATTGCCCGAAAATGAAGTTTCCATGGCACCGACTTGTTGCCCTCGTCAATAGCTTCAGTTCGGAATCTATGTCCTTCAAGATTGGAAGTGACATTGAGCTTCCGTTTGAAGTTGAAGAATATTCTGTAGTCTTAGGACTACACGCGAAAGGAGTCTACGTGACCGAAAATACATCGGTCGAAAGCGAATGGTTTGTTCGAATTTTTGGGAGCAAGCCACGTTCTGTAACCCGCGGGCAGGTGTTGCAGAAGCTGCGTGAGGCTCTGTTGCAGGGGCTGGAGCCTCTTTCTGTTGCGGATGTTGCTCGTCTTTTTATTATGTTTGTTTTTGCAAATATTTTATTTTGTTCTGCGAATTATTCTGTACCCCTTTTTTTGTTACCGTATGTGGAAGACCTGAGTGCGATTGGTGACTACGCGTGGGGACCCGCGAGTCACCGTTATCTGTTGAAGTCTATAAGCGACTTCAAGTCCGGGAAAAAATATTTGACAGGCTGCACCGTGGGTTTGTTGGTAAGCAATGTAATATCGGATTTGTTAATTTTTTCTACTTATTTTGGTATATTGCACAATATGTATTATTGTTGGCAGTAATGTCTATTACAATATGTGCAGGCGTGGTTCAATGAGAGGGTCCCAACTCTGGACAAGGCACGGTGCCTTCCGAAGGTACCGCGTCTCTTTCGGTGGCTGAATAGCCTCGGTCCAATGTCCAGGGTTCATGCAGTTGGTGAATTGACATCCCTAAAGCGGTCAGATGTTCAGGAATTCTATCGGATAGGCACGGAAGAAAAGTTCGTTCGTGCAATTTGTCATGCTTCAGAGGTAAATGCATTATTCAATGTTGCTACCGTTGTAAATGGATAAAATAATTTCTTATATGACATTATTAACATATGTTGCAGGAAGCAGCGCAGCAAATTGCGGCATTGAAGGTGGAGCTGCAGAAGAAAGACACTGCAATTGCCAGACTTGCTCATAAATTACAAAGATCTAGAGCCGGTGTTGTCGATGACGACAGTGAAGGTGAGGGTGAGGACGAGAGCGATGGCGAGGAGGGTGATGCAAACTATGGGGATGAAGAGACAGCAGACCGGATGGCTGTGGAGTCTGAGAGGAAAGAGAAGCAGGCCGACATGGAGGAGAAGCAAGGTCAGGAGGAGGAGAGTCAGGGTGAAGAGGAGGAGGAGGAGGAGAAGGAGGAAAAAACTGGGGAGGAGGAGAGGCAGACTGAGGAGGATCCCGAGGAGGCAGCGGAAGAGCAAGCGAATACCGAGCGCCGAAGCAAAAAAAAAATGGACATCCTTTTGGCCGAAGTTGATCCGATAAACGAGTCAGATGACGAAGGGGTTGGTAGCCTGCTAGAGTTTAACCAATTGATGGCCATTGTTCCTTATGTTGCACCGATAGATGTCAAGGTAAGCTAATTAATATAGTAAGTACAATTTGTAGGTCGTAGTTGTCTATCTGTTGAATGATTATTTGCTTTGTTGAAATTGTAGCAGGGCGATGACTCCGACCGTGAGACTTGTAGCAGGGCCGCAGATTCATCGATTGTACGTGGTGTAATGGCACGTAAGGATCGGAAGAGAAAGAAGAAGCCTGAATTCGTGACACCTGTGTCGACACCGCGAATTGAGAAAGCGAGAAAAACACGGAGGGCGAAAGGAAAGTCAGCGGTCGACGTCAATAATGAGCAGGTACGTAGTTCCATACAAATATAAGTCGTCTGGCTCAAAATACTTCAGATAGATTCTTAAATACCTAGTGTTTCTGCGTCAATACCTGTACAATAAATACAGATACCTACGGAAACATGATTATCTTCATTGTTGGTTCAGGAACCATTTGTCGTCGGCGACGATGGGGACTCGGATACTAAGGTTGTAGCAGACCCTGGAGCACAAAAGTGGGAGGGATATCGCAATAATGACAGCTACTGTGGAAAGGGTTCCTTATCTGAGGATGAGACGAACACCATTGAACATTTTCTCGCGTCATTCGCTGTCCGGTATTGCTATTCACTATTAAGGCTTTATATATTTTTCTCAATCGATGTTTTTATCCGTTTGCGACTATCATGTTGTAGGGACACTGTATGGCAGCAGGGCGTCGTGTCTGTCTCGTCCGATGCCGTTTTAGAACTACTGTTTGACGAAGCTGTGAAAGGCGAAGTCATCGACGCGTACCTATATCATCTATGCAGCAATGAATATCAGCTCCAACACAATCCGCAGGTGCGGTGTGGTTGTGTGCCATGGTTCGTAGCGGTGAGTATCCTGTTTGGAATTTATACGGTTAGTATTACAAATCACATTGTTATTATTGCGTTGGTTGCTGTGTTCGATTTTCAGAAAGCCGTGAACGACGCGCTATCACGACCAAGCAAGGGAGCGAAAAAGCCGAGCATCAATAAGGGTAATGTACTCGCGTTTGCCAACTCGCTGCAAGTGACCGTAGGCCAAGAGATTGCCGGAATCATGGACAAAATCCGGTCTGGGTGCCGGTACATATTTCTACCCGTACACACCCGGTTCCACTGGCATCTCTGCATACTGGATACCGTCAAACGTGTTGTGTTGGAGTGTAACTCAATGCGCGACCCCTTCGGCCAGGGGAATGCAAAGAAATTGGTACGTCTTTCGAATGATCATAATTAATTGCCTATGGGTAGGGTGAATTCCTTAACGAAAGAGTAACGTTATTTGTGCAGACGCGATTTTTATCGTTGTATATGAACGCGTCACGACTATGGCCTATGGTCAGCGACATGCCCGAGTACATTAGATGCCGACACCAGGGTGAAACGTTGGACTGTGGACCTTTAGTCTGCATGTTCGCAGAGTGTTATGCGCGGGCAGGTCCAGATGTCAATCTCGTTGGTGTCCTCGGCGAGGACTTCGGCGATGTCAAGAGCTACCGAGGCACGATTGCGGCGAGGATATTGAAAGGTCCCCCCTTCTGAAACGTAGACCCCGATGGAAAAATAGGGCAGGTTAACACATGTAATGAATTTGGATTGATTTGGGAAGTTTTTGCGTTGTGTGGCGAGGTGATGGATTTGTTGAATGTCTTCAGTTTGGATTGATCTGGGAAGTTATTGTGTTGTGTGGAGGTGATGGATTTGTTTAACGTCTTCAATTTGGATTGATCTGGGAAGTTATTGCATTGTGTATCGAGGTGATGGAATTGGTAAATGTCTTTTATGTGGATTGATTTGTCATCTTCATTATATACCTGCGTTGTGTGGTGATACCCGTTGATAGCTTTTATGTGCCTACGGAAAACTAGTATGTACTTCCATTTATATATTACATGCTCCAGTCATTTGCGTTTGTGGGACTGGTCATTTCTTTTGCACTGATCACTGAAATAGCGTTCACTTTGAATCAGTTCAACCGTGTCGGCGTTTCTCATAAAACCCTACTGGACGCCATGTTTTAATCGACCGGAGATACTGCAAGGGCTTACTCGTTAATTTAAAACAAACAATACTAAAAAAACATGATCATATTACAACAAAATATTTGTGCGGGACATAGGTGTCTGGTAATTGCGTGTGGGCCAACGTCTAGATTACAATCAACTATTTCCTGCGGAATGCTAAGCAACACGTGGTTACAGAGAAGTGCTACTATACCTACAACTAGGATACCTACAACTACAACACAGATGCCCGCATACGCAATCTGTGTACCTCGTTCAGCGAGTCTGGTACTTAGCTCGGATGCATAAGTAACGGAGTCATTATTACAAATACCCTATAGTATCTATTATGTACCTACGGAAATAGCCTTTATACTTCCGTTACCATTTCAAATGCTCTGGTACCCTACGGGTGGGGACTCGGCCTTTTCTCTTAAAATATTCATGAACTGATGGTAAGAGTGTATTGGCTTAACCATGGTAGTGTTGCTCGTCAACCCCATAATCTTGAATGGCGTGTTTTAGGCCACAGATTATACTTACATCGCTTACCCGTTAATTGAATTAGAACACAATAGAATAGACACGATAATATAACCGCAATATAGTTGTGTGGCATATGGAAGTCTGGTACGTAGCTGTGTGCTGAATTTTAATCAATGCTACGCCTCCAAGTTATTACACGGTAATACAATTAGAATACTGTATAAACAAAATAAAATATGGTTTGTACTCGGACCGCAACCCTATATGTTGGAATCATTATTCATATACCCTCTGTAAGCTATTGCGTACTTACAACAACCGTGACATTATACTTCAGTTGCAATTATGTATGCCCTGGTTACCTGTGGCTGGGGAAACGGTCTTTTTTTTTTTTTTTCTTCAAATAGCATGTATTTACTGCTGATGGTTAAAGAAGGCATCAACAAATACTTAAGTTGTATGACACATGCACTTGGTTAGTATGACGAGTGTAATACAACAACTATACCTCCTACTAATAACCCAAAAATAGGATAGCATGTACTTTCAAAACAATTAGAGATTACATTAACCATCCGTCCCTACAGAGCTACATCATCAAATGCCTCAGTACATGAAAAATATACCTGCAGAATATAACTATGAACCTTCACAACTTCATCATATACCTGCGTGAGAGGGCTACATACCACTTACTACTGCAAATAAGTCGATGGATCCAACCGGTTACATCCTAGAGACACAAAAAACAATTACAATATAGCTATTGAATATGTACCTACTGTCTTAATATATACTCCTGGAAGCCAAAAAGATGTACAATGAAAAAAAGGTTCGCTAAGCTATTTGTTGCTTGCAACTTCTTCTATTATGTCCAAGACGCCCACAACGACCACATTTCCGTGCATTCTTTACCTGCTGGGACTCGAACCTTCGCTTCTTTGGCCGGCCTGGTTGGACAGACGACGGAGGAGGGTGAATTTGGTCCGCCTGAATTTCAACAATCACGTCCATATCATGCGTCGGTACGGGATTTATTGGCTCCTGGTACGTTTTTCTGTAAGATTCAATGCTATAGTAAAGATCGCAAAAATCATAAATTGACATACTGCATTTTTCAATGCAAGCGCAGGCATGCTTGCAGGGCAATCGGAACATTTGCCATTCTCGACAAGAGCATTTGCGCGCCTCCAAATCGACTGCGTATCTTTCATTACAATCTGTTACCTCGAATACAGTTCTAGAGGATTAACTGCACTGTAGCCGTCGAGACGCCATGTACGATAGTGCCAACTTGCTCTCCTGTTTTGGACAGAGTCTTCCGTGCATTATCTCCGACTTTTCGCGGCGTTCATTCATCATTACCATCACTTGCCTTCTAATGGTATCCAACATCCCAACGAATGGCATTGACCTCGCGGATCTCACCCAACTATTCCATGACTCAGCAATGTTATTATTTATTATTCCCCAACGAGTGCCTCTGAATAGTGAATTTGCCCAACATTCTGGGTGTGATTGGGTAATGAAGTCCCTGGCCAATGGCATTGATTCGACCACAGAACTAATGTGGTTTTCGAAATCTCTCCTCAACGGAGCATAGGCGGCCTTATTGAAGACAGCGGTCCATCGTTTCTTATTATGCATTGGGTATCTCCGCATAACCTAAAAAAAAGACATTTTATGGCTGATCATAACCAGTGATGTTCATTACAGATTAATATTGACGTACATATACCTGGGTACGGAAGTTGTCCACTAAGTGTCGGAGACAGTACGCATGATGTGCTCCGGGAAAGACGCACGAGATTGACTTTAGTAAACCCGAGTGCCGATCCGAGAAGAATGTGTACTGTTTCCAATCCGTACGTCCCTCACATTCTAAAACAGATCGCAGCTTCCAGCAAAACCACTCCCAATTTTCATCATTTTCCGTAGACACAGCTGCAAGTCAACAAATAAGAACACAAATAACTACAAAGGTTTCCAACGTATAAGGGTACATACGTGCCTAAAGAGAGCATGGAAAACAGCATACACGAACAGCTATACCCAGCATTCTAACAAAATGACAACTGTAGCTAATATCAAATTACGTACCAGAAAATGCTAAAGTAAACATCCCATCATCCCCATCCACTGCAATTGCACTTAGCAGACACCCTTTGTGTTTGTTTTTTATATGTGTCCCATCAAGAAAGAGTAGGGGCCTGCAACCCCTCAAAAAACCCAGCCGGCATGCACCCAAACAAACAAAAAGGCGTTGGAAACGTTTGGTTGCCTGCTCAACTTCGCAGTCTATAATACTTCCCGGATTTGACTCCCGAAGTGCATGACAGTACCATGGAAGTTGTGAGAAACTGTCTCTACCTCCACCATTAATTGCCCTTATCGCATTCTCTTTGCCACGCCATGCTTTATGATATTTCACGTCAATCCCATAATCTGTTTGGATATGCTCCCGGATGTCGGATGCCTTATACGCTGGCATAGAACGTATCTTATCTTTGTAGACCTCAGAAATCCAGTTCGCATCGGCTGCTGGATGATCTCTTGATTGCAATAGACTCATAGTACATGTGTGATGTAAATTGCACTTACGAATGCTGAATGATGCATCACGAGCATGGAAGGATGCATAAATACGCCAACCACAGCCTTTGTCGATGCACACCGCAATAATTTTGCTCGAATCATTCTTTTGGTACCTGAAGTGTTTCTGAGTGGCAATAGAATAATTCTTCAGTAACTTTCTAAACTCCTGCGGTCCCTTGAATGTCTGCCCTTCCCCGACAATGCATCTCTGCATTGCAATTAGACTAGTACTTTCGTCGGGAATAAAGATACCATCGGCGCAATCTTCGTTCAATCCAGAACATTCGGCCTCGCCCCTACATTACAAATACAATAATAAGAATGAAAATTATATCAGATGTAAGTAGTTCTAATTTTATATGGTAATAGATATTTTCAGAGTAAATGGAAAAACATGGGTACCCATCTTACTCAACCGAGTATGTCCACGGTGTCTATGGTTACCTACCGTGTCATCCAGGGTATTTAAAAGAACAACTGCATCTATTCACCGCAGCAGGCTACGTGATGCAGTAAATGCCATGGGCTACAGAAATTTTAACGCATCGATCATGGTACACCTACCTAAACCGGATTGCTAGAGGATATTGACAGTGGCGTGTGAAGAAGGAGTGAAAATCGTTAAATACCTTCAAGACGTTATAGCCCCACTACATATCTTTACAATCTCTTCAGTGGTTCGTTCTGCACCGCGCTACTACAAAATCGCGGAGGTGGATACTTACTACCTACAAACAACATCGCAACAATATACCACGGTATTGTTGTATGCCAATATCATGAAAGAATTATTACTAACGTAACCTATAAACAATATGTTTTTACATGTGTTGAACATGACATTATAAGCGCTTACAGACTGCATTCTTACATACTGCATTATAAGTGCTTACAGACTGCATTCTTTCATAAGGAACAATTGTGACTGCATTCTATAACAAAGTTTAATAAAGACTTCTTAATTACAAATGATGAGTAACGTACCTGCGTCCAATTTCAGACTACTTTGCTCCATGTCCATCGGAACCTAGCGATCCAACCGGTGAATGTATGAACTATATTAGGTCGTATGGGCGATTAGATAATCTTACACAAAATACACTAAAATCATATGTTCTTACGGAATTCTAGAAATGTCTTGATCCTCAATAGCAACACATTACCCATTTCACAAAATAAATATTACCCTTAAACCCTAAATAGCAACAAAATTTATTATCAAAATCACCCTAAATAATACCCAAACATTTTCTTCCAGATAATAATTTTTCAACTAAGATATCGATACAAAAACACACCTGGTACATCTAATTTCGCCGGAGAACAAGAAAGACGGGCCAGGAAACCGGTGACAGCCTTCGGTAGTTCTTCGACCGAATCAACCGACACAAAAACACACTTGGTACATCTAATTTCACCGGAGACCAAGAAATACGGGCCACGGAACCGGTGACAGCCTTCGGTAGTTCTTCGACCGAATCAACCGACCGCCGACGACAGGGAACCGGAACAGGATTCGGAGAGTGCCCTAGGAAATTTTTCAATCGAACCAGACAAGAAGCGGCGATGTAAAATCGGGCGAACAATTAAGAACCTTACCTGTGCGGGATGTGGCTTTCGAGCTCACGGAAGAGGACAACGGCTTGACAAGAATTTTTTGCGCGAAGAGAAACAGAATGAAGAGAAATACGATTAGGGAGGAAGAAGAAGGAAGAAGGAAAAAGGGGGGAGTGCAGAACAATTTTTTATCATTAGGGACTGAATCCCAAATGATAAATGGACAGAGGGATTTTTGCCCAATTGTCCGATAAAAAAATTTAAAAAAGCAAATAAAATTAAAAATAAAATTTTTAAAAAATTTAAAAAAAAAAAAAAAAAAATCCATGTGTCCGCCACGTGTCGCTGACCTGGCGGACACGTGGCCTCCAGCAAGCCACGCGGGCGTCTCCGGCGCCAAATGACTAAAACAACGAAAAATTTTCACTTATGAGACTAGTTTGCGACAGACTCCACTTACGATACTAAAATGAGGTCAGTTACCGGACTAAAAAAAATAGTTTACCCAAATAAATAAAATCCATAGGAGGACAATCATGTTATTTAGAATATAAAAAATTAAAATCTTTCCACTGATATGAAAAATAAACCTGATTTGAGAAATATAAATCCTATATAATTTTACCAACCAAACATAAGATAAAATTTCAAATTCTAAATATAATATATTCCCATCATATATAATTTTCCATTTATATTTTATGCATGATGAGAATTTTATGTAATATTTTTAAAATAAATGCTATATAATTTTTAAAATAATATAGGCATTTACACTAAATTTTGAACATAACAACGAAATTTTTTACAATATTTTTTAAAATATAAAAAAAAACCCGATGAGTTTCGGTGAAGTTTGGCAAAGAAACTTGGCAGGGGAAACGCAGCCCAGTCTCGCATTTCTTTGAGCTCGTAGTTATCCGTCCACGTGTACGGGTACAGAATTCACGTGCAGAGAAGTATAGATCCAACGGCTGTGATATTTCAAACACAATAGTTGAGGACTGCCAGCAATTAATTACATCACACAGTAGTCACATTTCACAGCACCCTACTCAGAGTAAATAGAGTGGTTGGCTCTCCCACACACACAGTCCCCCATTTCTCCACTCTTTTTGCTCTCTCTCTCTACTCACTGCTGCGAAGCGCCTCCACTCGCAGGTAGGGTTTCCTTCCTGAATTTGCCTAACGTGTAGTTCCTCCGTCGTCGTCTGCACTGCGAGTTGTGTTTTCAGTTCCGTTTTTCAGAAATATTTTAATTATATTATTGTTTGTTTGGGATTTTTGCTCATAAATGTTTCGAGCCTGTTTTAGATTTTCTTCTTCGCTGCAATTTTGGTGAATTCGCAGCGAAAATGGCGTTCTCTGGCTTTGTTGACTTTCCCTAACCTCTCTGGTTTTGGATATTTTAATTTAATATTTTCTGGCAGATTAGGTTAGGTTTAATTATTCCCGTTACAGTAGTAAATTATAAGATTAAAATATAGCATTAGCTTTCTTTTGTCCCTCATTTGTTTCCATGGCAGGATCTGTTCTGTTTGTATGCCTTTTTTGCTTCCTGTGCACGATTTCTGCACTTGCTTTGCCTCTTATGAGTTGTTCTTGTGTACGGATTCTTATTATGTACCTTAACTTCCTTCTTCGCTGTTAGGGGTGGGATAACGCCTATTGGCCTGGTTTATTTATTAAGGATGTGTTTGTTTGGGGTTTTGGCTTCTGAGTTAAGAGTTGGGATTTGAACATGTACAATGCGATATAAATAGTTCTTAGATGGAATATTTTGAATATAAAATAATTTTTAGTATAATATAAAATATAAAAATAGCTGTTTGATTTGATGGTTTTGAAGAAAAAAGTTAAAATTGATAAAGTAGTGGAAGTCTTGGAGAATCTCCTAACAACCACACCTTAAGCAGACCTATAGTATTTATTTCAATTTTTTCTTTTTCTTTTTTAAAATAGAACAAGTTTTTTTTTTTTTTTTTTTTTTCTTTTGCATATCATACTGGTGTGGGTATATATATATATTTTTATTTAATATATAAGGGTAAACTGTTTTTTAGTCCCGTAACTGGACTCTCTTATTATTTTGGTCCTATAAGTGGAGCATGTCGCAAACTAGTTCCATAAGTGAAAAATTTTCGCTGTTTTAGTCCTCCGGCGCCGGAGATGCCCGCGTGGCTCGCCGGAGGTGACGTGTCTGCCAGGTGTCGCTGACCTGGCGGACACGTGGATTTTTTTTTTTTTTTTCATTTTTTAATTTTTTTAAAATTTATTTTTAATTTTATTTGTATTTTTTTTTATTTTGTACAATTAAAAAAATGAAAAAAATAAAATAAATCCATGTGTCCGCCAGGTGTCGCTGACTTGGCGGACACGTCACCTCCGGTGAGCCACGCGGGCGTCTCCGGCCCCGGAGGACTAAAACAGCGAAAATTTTTCACTTATGGAACTAGTTTGCGACATGCTCCACTTACAGGACTAAAATAATTAAGAGGTTCAGTTACGGAACTAAAAAAGACAGTTTACCTACAATATATAAAGATTATGGGTGGAAAATTTTGATTTAAATTTGGTATAAAAATAATTTATGATTAAATATTTTATTATAGAAAAAAAGTGTATTTAATTTTTTTTAAGGAAAATTCAAATAGTAAAAATCTACCATTTTTGGCAAAAGAAACATACTTTAATATTTTTAAGTTCTTGTAATTCCAACGAAAAAATAGCAATAACGAAATAAGAAACTGGTTCACATTAGCTGTCATTTTAACGATTGTATTAATTTTTTTTTATTTTTTTTGTCTTTTTCTTTTTTATATTAATGGAGTTTGAAAAAGAAAATAATAAAAAAATTACACAGAAGACTTTTAAATCGGTCGTACAAATATATATTTTTTTCCCGCTCATAAGCCACTCGCAAGCTGATGTATATTTTCAAAATAGTCTGGCCTGCCTTTACCCATTTTGTTGTCGAGTGAGGGTATATTTACTTCCATTTTCTTTTTATTACTATGGGACCCGCAGCTGTAATTTTTGAGTGCGGCTTATTAGGATCTTCAATCCATCAATTCCATTTATCAAGTTTTAACTCCAAGTTGTTACAGTAGATTTACTCCAACTATAATTCCAATTTTCATCATCATTCTTCAAATATTCAAATTTTCCTATTATTTTAACCAAACTTTTTATTTTTATAATTTAAAATAAATTTAAAAAAAAATTTAAAATTAAAAATCAAATTTATAATTTAAAAAAAATAAAAATAAAAATAACACAACCCCAAAAAATGGCGTTGGATTTATGGGCGCTGGGTTGGAGATGGCCTTATAACACGCTAACCGCATCCATTTGAACGAACATAAGTTGGATTTTGATTATGTAAAATTTGTGGGAATTCGCATATGTGTGTTTGTTTTGAAGTTTGAATTTTAATTTGAGATTTGAATAGTAAAATTTTGAATTAGAAGTTGATGTTAGATATGTTGATGTAATGTTTTAAAGGTAAAAATGATTTTTATTTTAATATAAAAGAAAAATAGGTGTACAAGACTATTAATAATTTCAACATGTTTGAATTTGGACATGCAATTTGCGTAGAAACACTAGCTTTATTGACGAATATGAGTTCTTGCGTATAAAATTTCCTATATTTTGTAATGAAATTTAAGGATGTTTATTTGTTTAAAATGTGCAGAGTTAGTGATAAACTAGCTTATTGGTTTATAAATTCACGAAACAGAAATGGATCCCGCTGGTAATGGGGCTGGAGATGAATTGCCTCTGCCTCCCCCGATTCCTCCAAATGTTATTCCGATCAAAGCAGCAGAATCTGATAAAAAAAAGGTTGTCCGTACTCCAATGGCTAGACGAGGCCTGGGAACGCGGGGAACCAAGGTTACCATTCTGACCAATCATTTCAAAGTGAATGTGAGCAACGTGGACGGGCATTTCTTCCATTACAGTGTACGGGGGGTCGTCTATATTTCTTTCATAGTGTAATGAGACAGACATTTTTTTGTTTGTGTAATTATGTTTGTCCAAACTATCTATGTGTTCAGGTTGCCCTTTTCTACGAGGATGGTCGGCCCGTGGACACCAAAGGCGTTGGCAGAAAAGTGATGGAGCGGGTGCACAAGACGTATGATACTGAACTGGCTGGGAAAGACTTTGCTTACGATGGGGAGAAGAGTTTGTTCACGGTCGGCGCACTTCCACGCAACAAGCTCGAGTTTACCGTTGTGCTTGAAGATGTCACCACAGTGAGCAGGTGTGTGTGCTGTGACTCATTGTTAATTTCTTAGGGTCTGTTTGGTTTGAGGGTTTAGGAGGGGAGGGGAGGGGAGGGAAGAGGAGGAAATTATAAAAAATTTTGTGTTTGGTTCAAACTTTTTTAGAGGGGAAGGGAGGGGAGCAGAGTCAATTTCTTCATGGTGTGTTTGTTCGGGGGATTGAATTGGATTTACACTATTTATCCAATTTTTTTCCTCTAAAAACATCAAAACAAACATTTATTTTTCATTTTTTATATTATACTAAAAATCAATTTTACATTTAAAACATCACATCGACACCTATTTATATCACATCATACAACTATTCAAAATCAAAATTTTTATTATTCAAGTCCCAAATCAAAATCCAAACCCCCAAACAAACACACCCTAAATTTTTTTCCCCTCCAATTTGGGGGAATTTGGAGGGGAGGATTTTACCAAAATTTTGTTTTTATCTAATTACCTATTATACCTTTTTATATATTTTATTAGAAATTTTACAACATCTTTCGAAATTTTAATATTTATTTATTTTATTTTTAATTATATCAAATAAATATTAATATATATTGAGATTATATTATATATTTTGAAATAGTTTTAATTAATTTTTTAATCAAATTCAATTATAATAATTTTTTAATAAATTACAAATTAGCATATAATTATATCTATAATATTAATATTTTATTTCTTTTTTCTCATATAATATGAGCATATTATTCTAGATACGAGAATTTAAATAAAATATAATTAGTAAGTAATTAAGAAGTGCATTAGTAAAAATAATTATTGTATAGTAAAAATAATTATAGATTAAAACTAAGATAATTAAATAGTTTAATTAATATTAAAAAATTATAAATTATAATATACTTAATTTATATAATTTTTGTTATAATGTTATTATTTATACGTAAAAGTATTGTTTATCTTTAATGATAAATTTAATAAATAACTAATGTATAAAGTATTTGATTCTTCCAAGACGTAATAATGTAATTATTACTTTTAATATATTAGACAAATAAATTTTGTATTACATTTTATAAATAAATTAAACGAATTTTATTAAATACTTTTATTCTTCTTTATTTATATAACATATGGGTAACACAGTAAAATTATTATATTTTTCTTTTTCCTTCCCTGCTAAACCAAATACAAAAATACTATTTTTCCTCGCCTAGCCTCTCTTCCCTTCTATATGAACCAAAATACATTATTACAATTTTAATATTCTTTCCCCTTCCTTCGCCTCCCCCCTTTCTATTAAAATCCCTCGTCTCCCTTAGGGTCTGTTTGGTTTGAGGAATTTGGAGGGAAAGAGAGGAGAAGCTAGGGGAGGGGGGAAAGAAAAAAATTACAATTACCTCATTTGGTTCAATTTATTGTAAAGGGGAGGGGAAGGAAAGGGAGGGGAGGGAATTTTATATGAACTTATGTTATATTGTTTCCCCTCAAAATTGGAGGAATTTGGAAAGGAGAGAAAGATATCTATGTCTTTTTATAAAATTACTATTATATCCTTAGTATTATATCCTTAATATTATATGTTAAGTATATAATTTATGTATAATTTAATACAATAAAGTAACATATAATATTAAAGATATAATACTAATTTTGTAAAAAAAAAACATAGATATCTTAGTTATAATATTTTTAAACTTTATAATGTAATTAAATTATAAAACAAAATTTTATATAAATTAAATTTATTTTCTTTTAATCATTTAATTAAACCCTTAAAGTTAGGTTTCAATTAATAAAATAAATTCATATCTATTATATTTATTTAACACTATAAAGATATTTATTTTGTAATTTATTCTCAGATAAATAAATTTTATGTTACAATGATTATTTTGTTATTAAATGATTCAATTCTCTTATATATAATTTTATTTTTATTTATGCTTTATTTACATGATATAAGTATATATATATACTTATTTTTAAACAAACTACGTCATATTTATATCAAATTTGATGTTTTATTAATAAATTAATAAAATTTTATTAAAAACTTTTATTTTTATTTATTTATACAATATAGAGATAAAAGAATAAAATTATTATATTTTCTCTTTCTTTTCTTATTTAACCAAACACAACAATACTATTTTTTATCACCTCCCTTCCATTCCTTTCCAGTGAACCAAAGACACTATGGGTGTGTTGTGTGTAGGATTTGATTTAAATTCAACTATTCATCCAATTTTTTTCCCTAAAAACATCGAATCAAACCCCTATATTTCATTTTTTTATATTATACTAAAAATCCATTTTACATTCAAAACATCATATCAACACACATTTATATCACATCATACAACTATTCAAATTCAAAATTTTTCCTATTCAAATCCTAATAAAAAATCCAAACCCCCAAACAAACACATGCTATTGCAATTTTAATATTCTTTCCCCTTCCCCTAGCCTCCCCTCTCTTCCATTAAAATCCCTTCCCTCCCCTCCCCTACCTTAACCAAACGGACCCTTAAGGACAGACGGACTGACTGACCAGCTTGGCTTTGTTGTGATTAGGAACAATGGAAACACTAGCCCTGGAGGCCACGACGATAAGAAGAGGCTAAAGCGGTCTAATCAGTCCAAGACTTTCAAAGTGGAGATAAGTTTTGCCGCCAAAATCCCAATGCAGGCCATAGCAAACGCATTGCGCGGCCAAGACTCTGAAAACTCGCAAGAAGCTTTACGTGTTTTGGACATCATATTAAGGCAGCATGCGGCCAAGCAGTACGTCAGTTAGTTAGTTGTTTCCATTCTTTTCAACGTCTGGCTAAACTTTTTGTCTTAGTTTGAGTGAATTTTATCGCTTTGATTTGATGTCAGGGGCTGCTTGCTGGTGCGTCAATCCTACTTCCATAATGATCCGAACAACTTTGCTGATGTCGGGGGCGGGATTCAAGGCTGCCGGGGATTTCATTCCAGCTTTAGGACCACACAAAGTGGTTTATCTTTGAACATTGGTATTATTTCACTAATTTTCTATCACCACAAGGTTGTTTTTACCTCCACCTATTAAAATCGACATTTTTTTTTATACTTGCAGATGTCTCCACAACCATGACTATCAAGCCTGGTCCCCTCATCGATTTTCTGATCGAGAATCAAAAAGTGAGAGACCCCTTTTCCGTGGACTGGGTAAAGGTAAGAATCCTTGCTTCTATTCAAAGCATTTACTTATTTGAGTAAAATGTTTTGTTTTTAATTGATGAATTTTAAAATTTCTATGGAATCCTTAATTATCAGGCAAAACGGACTATGAAGAACTTGCGTGTGACGGCTATCCCCACTAACCAAGAATTCCGGATAACGGGTTTAAGTGAGAAGCCTTGCTGCGAACAAACGTAAGGTTCCCATGCATTCTCGGTAGTTTTTTCATCTTTCCTTATTACCCTAACCTTTGGATATTTGTAGGTTTGAATTAAAGCAGAAAGGTAAGGATGGTGAATTTCAAACTACTGAAGTGACTGTCTATGACTACTTTGTAAAGCACCGAAATATTGAGCTGAGATATTCGGCTGACCTCCCTTGCATAAATGTGGGAAGGCCAAAGCGTCCGACTTACTTCCCTGTTGAGGTGGGACTGTCGATTTGATTTGTTTTATACAAAAAATTGCACTGGTTTCTTTTTGACAAACTTTGGGGTTCTCCTAGCTATGCTCGCTTGTTTCGTTGCAACGGTACACAAAAGCTTTAACCACACTTCAAAGAGCTGCCCTTGTGGAGAAATCACGACAAAAACCCCAAGAAAGGATGTCGGTTTTGAACAATGTATGTGGAAAGCCTTCTCCAGCCTCTCATGTTATATCTATCTATATATATATATATTATGATACTGCACTTTGTTCGTACAATACAGGCTTTGAAAATCAATGACTATGCTTCGGTGCCAATGCTCCGTTCTTGTGGGATTTCTATCAGTAATTCATTCACTCAGGTTGATGGCCGTGTCCTGCCACCGCCTAAAGTAAGGCCACTGTTTACACTTTCTTTGAAAAAAAAAAATAGTTAAAAGTGTGATTTGGTGCCTGTGCCCTTCTTTTTTCATGATTACTATGATTATGCTGTGTAACAGCTGAAAGTTGCCAACGGCGATGATCTGTTTGTTCGCAATGGACGATGGAATTTCAATAACAAGGTAGTCCGCTGAGTTATTTTACTGCAAGGTGGCCACTTGCTGCGTGCCGGCATGTTGCATTTCTCTAAACTGATTTGTGAATTCTTGCAGAAATTTGTTTATGCAAGCAAGATTGAACGTTGGGCCGTGGTGAACTTCTCGGCTCGTTGTGATGTGCATGGCCTTGTCAAAGATTTGATGAGACTCGGTAGAGACAAAGGAATTGTATGCTCCCTCCCATTGTTCCCGGCCCATTCACAAGCTGAACCATTACGTTATTATTCTTTTTCTTCCCATGTTGGTATTTGATGTTGAGCATATTGCTTTCTATGTTTCATCAGACTGTGGAAGATCCATTCGATGTTTTTGAAGAAAACCAGCAGTACCGACGAGCTCCTCCCATGGTTAGGGTGGAGAAAATGTTTGAATATGTGCAATCAAAGCTTCCCGGCCCACCCAAGTTCCTACTATGTTTGCTTCCTGAGCGGAAAAATTGTGACATTTATGGTAATACTTACTATACAATACATACATACACAGTCGTTAAATTTTCAATGAAATTCGATTAATAAAATGAAGAGAACCTCTCTCTTTAGGCCCATGGAAGCGTAAAAACCTGTCGGATTTCGGAGTTGTTACTCAATGCTTGGCACCGGGGAGAGTTAATGATCAGTATCTGACAAATCTGCTACTGAAGATAAATGCAAAGGTGATTGTGATGTGATAAAAATAACATTCTGTTCTGCCTTGGCCAAGCGACTAGTTTGTGTTGTGTGTTTGAAACAAGATTGATTTGTGGCAGCTGGGTGGGTTGAACTCGGTGCTAGCTGCTGAGATATCACCTTCGATTCCAATGGTCTCTAAGGTGCCCACACTGATTCTTGGAATGGATGTATCGCATGGCTCACCTGGACAGTCCGATATCCCCTCCATTGCTGCGGTTGGTTGGTTAAGCCAATAATAATAATATTCAGTCTGCGATCATCAAAATAATTAATTTAATTAGCTGATCAATTTGACAATCTATCTGTCTATCTATCCATCCATCCATCCAGGTTGTTAGCTCGAGGCAGTGGCCTTCAATTTCTCGGTATCGAGCATGTGTCCGCACCCAATCACCAAAGGTGGAAATGATAGATTCCCTCTACAATCGTGTGTCGGACTCTGAGGATGCTGGCATTATGAGGTGAGAGAGACTAGACAGACTACTATCTATCTATTGCTTAAGCTTGCTCACTTTTGGGTTGGTTTTTTATGTTCGTTATGGCTATTTATATTTTTGGTTTTACCGGCAGGGAGACTTTGTTAGATTTCTATGTTAGTTCGGGGAAGAGAAAGCCAGACCAAATAATTATATTCAGGTAGGCAATGTGAAATTTACCGAATATAATGTTGTATTTCCATGCTATGCTATCTTGGGTTGGGTTCAGTTTGGTTGGGTTCTCTTGTATGTATGTTTGTATCTAATGACGACATTCCTTGGCTTATTATTATTATTATTCGAAACTCGGCGTAAATTCTCTATTTATTTTCAAAAATTGCATAGTGGCCCATTATATTTTAAAAAATGTTGCATGAAATCTTCACGTCACGTAGAAAATATAGATAGGAAATCATTTTGTTACACAAGGGAGGTTTTATGACAGTAGGGTTTTATGAACGTTTTTTTTTTAAGGACAAGGAGGCGCCATGCAATTTTTAAAGTATAAGGAGATTTTATGCTAAATTTCGAAATTACGGAGGAGTTATGAACAATTTTACCTTCTTCTTATTATTATTCTCGGATAATGAAATCTCAGAGACGGTGTGAGCGAGTCACAGTTCAATCAAGTACTGAACATCGAAGTGAGCCAAATAATAGAGGTCAGTCCGTGCTCAGTCCTCGAATAACAGTGTTGCGTTGAGATATTTTAGATATTTGATTTAGATATTTATTATTTTTTAAAGTAATTCATTCATTCCAAAGGTTGGTTTCAGACTTTATCAATGGACAATTAATTTTGTCGACATTGCATTGCGTATATACGTACGTACAGGCTTGCAAGTTCCTCGATGAGAAATGGTCTCCCAAGTTTGTGGTGATTATTGCGCAGAAAAATCACCACACGAAATTCTTCCAGCAAAATTCTCCCGACAATGTGCAGCCAGGTCCGGTTTCTGTTTTGGATATAGTATATAGTAATTAATGTTTTAAAAGTAGAAACAACAAAAGTTTGTGTCTGACGAAGTGAAATATTATTTTCCATTTGGGTTCGGATTTCTGATCAGGGACTGTCATCGATAATAAAGTCTGTCACCCGAGAAATTACGACTTTTATTTGTGCGCACATGCCGGGATGATTGTGAGGATTTCTTTCTATTTATATCTTCTTCATCATCATCATCTTCATCGGATTTAATCTATCTATATGTCTATCTCAAAATGCATGCATGCATGCATGCATTCACGAAGTGTTAAATTAAATTAATAATTAATTTTGTAGGGAACAACGAGGCCGACTCATTACCATGTGCTATTAGATGATGTGGGCTTTTCGGCGGATGATATGCAGGAACTCGTGCACTCTCTGTCTTACGTGTAAGCGAACCAACTTAACCAGTCAATCGATCATCGTAATTCCTAAATGGATGAAACATGTCATTCTTTGAACTAGTACTACTACTAAAATGAATAATTACTGCAGGTATCAGCGCAGCACGACAGCCATATCCATTGGTAACCAACTACAAAACTATATCTATACAAATATATATATTCTCAATCTATCTATCTATCGACAGACATATTGATTTATATTCTTCTTCGGATGCAGTGGCGCCCATTTGCTACGCCCACTTGGCGGCAACACAATTAGGACAGTGGATGAAGCTGGAAGACGCATCAGAAACGTCTTCAAGCCAGAATGGTGGTGGATCTGGATCAGGCAACGCCCACGCCCCTCCAGTGCCTCCAATGCCCAAGCTGCAGGAGAGCGTCCGCGACTCCATGTTTTTCTGCTGAGGGAGGTTGCCTGTCTGTCTTGTCTTGTCTTGTCTTGACCCCTCCCTCCCAGGAGGAGGATGTAGGTAGGTAATATCTCACTAGGTTGTCTGTGTCTGTCTGTCTGTCTGTTTGTTTGTTTGTGTGTGTTAAAAACTCGAAACTAGGACTATATATATATATATATATGTTTGTATGTATGTATGTCTGCGTGTTTATTACATTTGTGTTGGATCCAACGGCCTAGCCTAGCCTGGCCTGGGAGCGACTACTACTAGTTGCTGCTGTTATGACTTACGAATGGGAGACTCCACTCTTGGTTGGATCAGTGTAGTGTTGTATTATGTCGTAATACTATATGTCTTAAAATTATTCGTATTATTGTTGTAAATTTATTCTCTGATCGAAGGATTTTATTCGAACAATATCGTATATACATTTACAAATATTAGAGGAAGCAAATTGGAATAGAACTCAAAACAATATTAATACCAAAACAAAACTGGAAGTAACGCAATTAAACGTACAGAAGGCATAAACGGAATATTGAATTTAGGGATTGAAAAGCTTAACGAACAGATCCTAAATTAAATAATTGAATTCGATTTCAAGAGAGAAACAGATTGACGACTTTGATCGGCGATGACGACGATGGACTGCGGCGGCGGCGACTCCAGGTTTCCTACGACAAACAGCAACGATGTCGGCAGCTCTTTCTCCGGTGACTTCCAAATCAGCGACACTCCTCCGGGCAATTGGTGACAGGCAGCGGCGTCCTCCGACATCGACCACAGCGACCGATTCGGTAGCGCAGCGATGAACTGCGAACAGCCTTCAAGAACAGCGGCTCCGATCGTCTTCTCCGAGACTCCTTCCAACAGAGACGAAAACCTCTGATCGACTTCTTCCATCCATTGATCTTTCACCGAAGGTTAAGGAACACTCTTATAGGCTTAGTCCGTGGTGCGAGTTTGATCAGAGGTAATCATACCTCAAGAAAGAGGTCAGCACATTACTTTGAGTCTCGACATCCACCAGAATTCGCACAGACAAAGGGTTTCAAATCTCACCGTAATATCTCTCCCGAGAGGATGAATAAAACCCGTTTAAAAAGAGCTAGAAGTCTCTTGGCATCTTTTGGACCGTCTAAAAAGTTATGAAAGGAAGCCTTGCTAACAGCTTCTTATTTGATAGGGCTTCTTTCATTCTTTTAGGTGAAGATTATCTGAAAAATAAATGGACAGGTAAACAATTAGATTTATGTAATTTTAAAATATTTGGATGTAGTGTTTTTATTAATGTTAAAGGGGATAAATTAAAACATAAGGTTAAATTAAAACCTAGGGTTGAGAATTGTGTATTTTTAGGTTATTCCGAATGAGTTAAAGATTATAAATTGTAGTTAAGAGGTAAATCTCATTTTAAACCATTATGAGTAGAGATCTGACTTTTATTGAGTTTGAAATGCCTTGTTTAAATCAAAAGTTTTTTTTAGATAAAAATAACCCTACTCCAAATAGAGTGGAGTAAGGATATATTTTAAATCCAATTGTTGAAACGACTAGAACCAAATAGAATTTTCAGAACCACCTTCGAGCCCTGAACAATCTGTTTTTCAAACAGAAAATACTTTTGAAAGTAAAGAAAATGAATCCCCAAAATTAGAGAATTATAGATTCACCAAGGATAGAACTAGAAGATAAATTAACCTCATCTTAAAGTTATATGACAATGAATCTAAGCCTTTTGGTAAAACAAATAAATTTGAAAATAAAAAGAAATAAGTTGAAGTCATGAATGAAGAAACAGAGTCTTTGCATGTGAATAATACTTATACTTTAGTACCTAAACCTATGAACTCTTTTCTAATAGATTATAAATAGGTTTATAAAGTAAAATAAGAAGCACAAGGGTTAGGTTTTAAGGAAGGTTAGTTGGAAAGGGTTTTACTAAAAAAGAAGATGATTGATTATAATGAAATTTTCTCACTGGTGGTTAAGTTTACTACTGTGCACATTATGTTGTCTCTTGTTGCTCATTTTAATTGATAATTAATACAACTAGATGTAAAAACAACTTTTTTACATGAAAACTTGCAAGAGAAATGAAGCAGCCGAAAAATTATGTTGATAAAAATAGGCTTGTTCATGTGTACTTAATAAATCATTGTATAGTTTAAAACAATCTCCACGGCAATGAACTATTAATTTGATGAGTGTATGCTATCACTAAACTTAACTAAGAGCAAATATGACCATTGTCTTTATTATAAAAGAGCTTATAAAAAAGAGCTTATAAGCATACTGTGTTCTTGTTAATATACGTAGATGATATTGATAAAACATATATTATCCTATATTTGTATAGATAAATTATAAAATATAATTAATGTTTTGAATAGATTTTTACTCATTTTTTTGCATGTTCTTAATTGGTGCAAGGGAATAGAGTGATTCACGTCCATGCCAAATTTTCAATCAAATAATTATGGAAGTACTCGAATTAAGTTTGCATGTTAAGGAAATTGATGGTTTATTGGGATCGAGGCGTAATTGCAGGGATGATGATTGAGAATGACTAATTACAACTTACACTCACATTCTATAACATATGTTGGAGGATTGAGAGAGACGTTTTGAGAGGAAGCACCACCGAATGATCATTATTTTATCGTTTTTATTTATTTCTAATCACGAGTAGCTAGTTTCCTTTAGTCTAGTCCAAGGTTCAATGTAGATTCCGGATTGAGATGTGAGATTGTGTTTTGATTTAATTTGAATCTTGTTTAGTAAATTAATATTTGTACAATTTCTATCATTCATGTCTACAATTGTTTTATTTAATCTTTTATCACGGCTGAATTTTAGATTGGTTTAGAAATTGTTTACCAATCGAACATTTGCATCCATAATTGTGCATTTGTTTGATAAAGTGGTAAGTAGGTTGACAAGCTTAGCCTAGGAATTGCATGATCAAATATATTAATCTTTTCGCAATTGATTGCATATTTAAATTGGGTTTTTCTCGTGATATTTTCAATTGAAAAAATTAATTTATTGGTCGTACTTAGATTTTTTTTTTTTATTAGGGATGCGGTTAACCGGTTGTACCATTGCCTCCAATAAACTAAAGAAAAATTAGGCGTTATGATATATCTAATGCCTATAAATCAATTTATCAATTGAATAATAAGATTATATAAAATCAAAGATCGAATCTTTAATCTGGTTTATTATTCACTCATTGGGCTAGAAATTTAATCTCTTTGGAATCTAATTTTATTTTTCGTCGCTTATTTAAATTGGCTTAATTGAATTTGCTAGTCTCTCTCTCCCCCTCCCTCCAATACTTGAAATTGTGACAAAACAGGAATTAAACCTCACAGTTCATTTGAATCGACCTCGGCACCATTTGCTACGCGGCAATCGTGGTGTTAGAGTATCGTTATTGGAAACATCGAGGCTACCAGATATGTTCTTTATTAGCTCTAGTTTGGAGATAATAAATCATATAATATGCTGTTTGAGTAAAAAGTTTGATATGAAGAATTTAGGTGATGCAAAAGTGATTCTTGGAATGAATATCATAAGAAATATGCAAAACATACAAATAAAATTTGGATAAATTTTCTATGTTCGATGCAAATTTTATTAGTGTTCATTTGGCTTCTCACTTTGTTTTAAGTAAACAACAATGTTCCAAATCTGAAAGTGATGTTGATCACACGAAGAATGTGCCATATACTAATGCCATTGGCTCGGTAATGTATATTATGGTAAGTACACGACTCAACATTTCCTATGCAATAAGTTATTTGAGTAAGTACATGTCTAACCCTGGTTTGAAACATTAGTATGCTTTAAAGTGGTTATTTAAATATCTTGTTAGCACAAAATAATGTTAGATTATTACATACTAAATCTGATTATGGTTTAAATTTAAAGGGATATATTGATTTCAATTATGATAATGATTAATATAGTAGAAAATCAACAACTTCTTATATGTTTACTTTTTATGGGTCATATATGAGTTGGAAGTCTTAATTACAACATGTTGTAGACCTTTCTACTACTGAATTTGAGTATATTGCGATTACTGAGGTTTTAAAGGAAATTATTTGGTTTAAAGGGTTGTGTTGTCTAAAATAGGTTATTTGGATAATGATGTTATAGTTTATTCTAATAGACAATACGGAATCTAACTTTGTAAAAATCTGGTATTTCATGATAGAACTAAGTAAATTGTTGTTCGGTTCCATTTTATTAGAGATATTATGTCTAAGAATTTGATGAAGTTAAAAAAGATTTCATCTCAAATTTATTCATCGGATATGGGAATTAAAGTGTTATTTGTTTCATCATTTTTATCTTGTTTAAAAACTTTAAATTGTGGGATATATGGTTAAAATGATAATTTTCTAGCTTGTATTATACAATATAAATTGATTTTGTGTTTTTATTTTATATAGATTTCGTAAAGTGATGATGATCCTTTATAGCCCTTCTGTGACTTTGGCCAAAATATAGGTGGAGAATGTCTGGGTTTATTACCCATACCTTGAAATCCAAATTCAAACCCGTGTAACCCGGCCCGCGACCCATATAACCAAAAATATGATCGTGTCCATCCATTTAAATTAGGGTTAGTCTAGGTCATTCCTTCATTCATTCCTATTTACCTAATATGTCTTCTTCTTTATCGCGATTTCTCAGGAGCTCGCCTATGAATCGATTTCCTTAAATGGTCTCGAAATTTTTGATGTCATATTAAAAATATATTTTATTATATTAAATGATCTCTAAATTTTCGAGACCATATTAAAAATATATTTTATTATATTAAATAGTCTCAAAAATTTGAAACTATATTATACTCCCTCTGTCCCAAGTATTTTGTCAGTGTTACCGTAGATATGAGAATTTATGAGATGTATGATTAATAAATAATTAAGAATGCATTAGTAAAATTAATTATAATATAATATAATTAATTATAAATTAAAGTTAAGATAACTAATTAGTCTAATAAAAATTATAAATTTATAAATTTAAAATATAATTAAAATGTATCATACAAAAAAGAAAGTGATATAATCTGTAGGACAAACAAAAATAGAAAGTGTGACATTATATGTAGGACATAGAGAGTATATATTATTTATTATATTAAATAGCTTCGGACATTTCCAAGGCCATAAAAAATTCAAACTCCACTTATCTCTCTCTCTCAAATTCCCGCCCAAACCCGTTCCGTAAGGGATAGCGTAGTGGTGGGGTTAAATTCAAAACAAGTCACACATGGTTCACCACTTGTTTTATCGGTCCTAATTTGCAAGGTATTAAATTCAACTGAAAATTTACCCAATTATGCACTTTCAGCAGTTGCGAATTCCCATGTCTATCATAAAAAAATTAAAATAAAAAAATATTATGCCCAAACCCTAATATTCCCAAATCAAAATTTTCATTTCCTTTCTTTCTCCCACCCTCATTCCTCCTCTTTTTTCCTATACTTTAATCTTCTCCTCCTCCTCCTTTTTCTTCGGCGACGGTGATGGTGACGGCACCGGCGGCGGCAACAAGTTCTCGATTACCTTCTCTGGTAACGGAAAAGATGGCGGCAACGGCTCCTCTTTCTTCTTCTTCTCCGGTAGCGGCGGGCCAACGGACCCTCCTTCTCCAGCAGCGTTAGTGGCAACCCCTAATGTTTGTTCTTCTTCTCCGGCAGTGCGGCGGAGCCTCCTCCTCCTTCATTTTCTTCTCTTGCGGCAGGCGATGATAGCGGTGGCAGTGGCGACGGTAGACCCTCCTCTTTCTTCTTCTTCTCCGGCGGCGGCGTTAGGAAGAGGGAGCCTCTTCCTTCTCCAACGGGACTACCGGCCCCTTTCTTATCTTCTTTTCCTGCGGCAGTGGAGGGCAACAGAGCCTCCTCCTCCTCCTTAATTTTCTTCTCTGGCGGCGGCACAGTGATGGCGGTGACGGTGGCAACGATAACTTCTCATCTTTTTTCTTCTTTTTATCGGTGGCGCTCCGGCAGTAGCGGTGGGTAGTGGTGGGTCTCAATATATCTTTATTTTCTTAAAAAAATTAATAATTATGTCAAAAATTTCGAGGTCATTTGAAATGAATTTATTAATGTTGATGCGTGGGTCTTAATATATATTTATTTTTAAAAAATTAACAATTGCTTCAGAAATTTTTTTTGGCAAATGGTTTTGAAAAATTCAAACTATTATAAATGACAATGAATTTTTCTTTTCGGGTATGATTCAGAAACAAAAATCTGAAGCCAAAATTAATTTGTCTTAGAATCTTTTTAAATTCGGAAGCAATTTTTCCGAAGCCATCTTAATAAATTCTAGCGGACATACAACTAAAATTGTTTCTTTACGACGGGTGTGTTTAGATGTAATTTCAGACTAAAACCAACACTATTTATAGTAAAAATATGAGCAAAATCAATATTGATCCCACTAAAATTTAATTTTTTTCATTTTTAGTCCCGTTAAAAAATAATTATAAAGATTAGTCATATGCAAAACTTACATTATCCTTTTTGTCCCACTGTTGAAATTTTAACGGATTAGTCATATGCAAAACTTACATTATCCTTTTTGTCCCACTGTTGAAATTTTAACGGAATTTGCTGACGTGACTATAAGAAAAAAATGAAAATGGCGGATGATTTGGACGAACACGGCCTAACATACCCAATCATTCCGGATAATGCTTGCATCCTCTTGTCTTACCGCGGCTGCTGGCACAAAGTTAGCCGATGCTTATTCCCTAGATACCGTCATTGCTTCTTCTCGGGAAAAAGAAGTTCACGACCTGTGGGCTTTCTACCTCCATGCGGCATTGCTTCGTCAGGCTTCCGCCCATTGTGGAAAATTTTCCAGTCGAGTTGAAACAGTTAAACAAATCTGATACTTTTCGTATTAAAAAATAATTGTGTTTTGAAGGTTCAACTGCCTCGTCAAACATGGATAATAGTTTGACCTTTCTTCTCTGATGCTCGAGATGGTCAAAGGCTAATAGAGGAAGAACATCCTTTGACAAAGACATCGAATTATCGGAAGTGGCGGCGGCGCCAACACCGGTTGTCGAATTCCTAGTATTAGGTTTTTCATTGTTGTTGTTGTTACTATTATATCTCCCGAATATGTTTATCACAATTGACCCCTTCCCATGCAGCAAAATTCTTCCAACAACTCCTGAGCTGCCTTCGCATACTTTGAGAATAAAATTATCCATAACTTCCTCGTGGTTATGAAACTCAAAGTAAATATTCTATTTATTTTAAACATTATATGACGTCTCCTTATACTTTAAAAAATGTTGCATGAAATTCCTTTGTGGTTTTGAAATTCAGCGTATTTTAAAAATTGAATGATACTTCCTTATACTTTAAAAAATATTGCATGAAAACCCCCATTATGAAAAAAAATATAAATAGAAAATCATCTTCTCATCATACGAGAATGTTTCATGATGGTAGAGTTTCATGCAATGTTTATAAGGGGACGTCATTCAACTTTTAAAATACAACTTTTAAAATACATACGCTGAATTTTGAAACAATCTGAGAGTTATGAACAATTTTACCTACTTTGAGTACTGTAGCATATTCGTCATACCATATGATGATCCACTCCTTGATTGTACGACGCCGCTGCCGCCACCACTGAAATTCTTAAATTGATGCTGCCCAATTGAGCTTTTCCTGAAAAACAACATTCTGGCTGCTTCTCCGATCCTGAATTCCTCAGCTTTAGCTACCTCGAACTGATGTAAGAGGGACGACAGTGAGAACGATACCCCTTGCCCTTCCGCAACTCTCGGAATGTTTTCACCAACAAATCACATACCTCTTATGGTTGCTGGTTGTACAAGATTGCATAGCCATGAGACATAATTTTTTTCTTCTATGAGTAAAACAAATTAATAATTCAAACAAAGCTGTGTTGTAAAACAAAAATTAATCGATTTGTTTGGCTGTTTGATCACAGTCGTATTTGATAATTATCAAGTGGGATTAAAAATGAAAAAAATAAATTTGATTGGAACGAATATTGATTTTTGTTCTAAAAATATATTGGGTTTGTTATTTCTTCAATTTTCTTCCAATTTGCAATATACTATATAATATATATTTTATCATTTCATAACAAAAAATTCAATATAAAATAATATTATTTTATATTACTTACACAATTTCCAATATCTCACATAAAAAACATACTTCAAATCAAAATACAAAACAAACATACCAGTTTCTCTCACAAAATATTATATCAAAAATATTATTTACACAAAAATTCAAAAAACACTCTATTTCAAATTAATTTAAACGATAATCAAACAAATCATTGCTCTAAAAAAATTCACCTCAACAATAGAATAGCTCCCTTATTTTTAATTTAGTATATATTTCACATAATCAATATTCAATTCAAAATATTATATTTATATAACATCAAATATTATTAAAAGTGGGGACCATATTTACTAAATAAATAAAAAAACAAAACAATTATTTTGAGACAGACAAAAAGATAGGAGAGAGAATTTTCTATTATAAAACATCATATATCAAAATAATATTTAAATTAAAACTCAACCAAAACCAAGCTAACCCCAATTTTTTCCTAAAAGAATTGCATCATAACACCTATTTGTACTAAGGTGAAACAGTATTTCAATTTAAATTTTACTATTTCCCAAATCCAAATCCAAATCGAACACACCCTATGTCCTGAACTCCTAATAACTATTCCCTCTATCCCCTAAGATTGTATCATAATTCTGTTTTTGCCGCCGTTACCTTTTCTCCTTACCTCACAATTTTTTTTATTAACTCCTTAATAAATTTCCAATAATATATTTTTACCTATCTCACTTTGACATAATAATACTATTATTTTTTAGTCCCCGTTTCCACCCAAAGTACAAAAAATTAATTTTCGGGGCGGAGGGAGTATAATATACGTGCTGGTTGGAACTTAGAACAAAAGTGTAAACAATTGAAATGAATAACAAAGAAAAAGGATAGCTAGCAAGAATACCTTAAGAACTGCCATTTGAAGCCAGCAAGATAAAAGAAGAATGCTTTGCTACCATAGTTAAACAGCATCCATCATGAGTTACAAGTATCCCATTCGAAAGTCGGCTGCGCATAAGCCTCGTAGTCTAAGGACCCACTAATTACATTGTCGACACTTTGCATACCTTGCAGTATTGCAGGCTGGAAACCATCTTGATCAGACGGCAGAAGTTTATATAACACCAATAGCCCAAGCGTGAATATAGCCTGTAGCTTCGTGGAGTCCCCGCGCACCGAAAAGAACAGCAGCATCGAAGCAAGGAACAGGTCGATACAAAACCTCATAATACACAGCACTGTATCCACCAACCTCCCATCGTTACCTGCAGGAAAGCCTCGCACTCTGTAAACAAACAGGAAGTTGTATTTATCGACGACATATCTGTACCCGAAGTAGATTGCGCCAACTGGAACCACTAGAGGAGCGAACGAAGAGTAAATGAGTGTGAGGGCAAATATTGTGAGGTTGAATGCGTAGTATTGTGCGAAATCGAATGTTTGTTTAGGGACTGGCGATGTCCGGCTTCTGACTGGAGGGTAGTCGGAGAGATCTTGACCGGGTAAGTCCATTGCAGATGAAGCTGAGCCATTTGAGAAGGCATTATTCCCAATCATGACCTCAGATATCCTTTCGCTTATCAGGGGCCGTTGCAGGCCTTCAAGGTCTTGATGTTGCAAGGGATAATCCTCACTTCGTTCGGGTACCAGCTGGAGCATGTCATTCTTACGAAACTTTTGAAGCTTGTTCTTGATCCACGGTATTGGGGCCAATAGGTCGTAAGATATCCCCAAGAAAGTGCATGTAATGAGGAAAGCAAGAGACGACAAACATGATTTTGACAAGAATGAAGAACTCATGTATTGTTCGATCCTCTTGCAGTCCTCGCCATCCAAATAACACCGGCTCATTTTTAAAAGTGCGCCTTCTAACGAGGACTCAACAAGAGCCCTCAAGAGAATGAGGTTGACCAGGAAGAAACAAACCATCTTTAATAAGGCAGCTCGTTGCTCTTGGGACACCGTAAGATGACGCTCAAACTTGGAAAGGTACGAGAGAGCTGATGGCACCACTATGTACATGCTCACGAAAATAATTACATTAGGCAGAAACTGAAAGATTATAGAAGCAATCCAGCTCGAACTCTGCAACCAAGTCAACCACGTCTGAGCTTTATCTATAGCCTCAGCATTGATAATTCGGGCTGCGCTGTTGATGGCACTTATCACCGCAAGCGGAGAGCTGAAGAATAAAAGTAGCAACAGCAGGCAAGTGTTGACAAGAACTCTACGTAATTTCAAAGAAAACTTGGACGATCCCAAATGATTCCAGTATATGTCGCTGGCTAGGGGAGCTCTCTGCACTTTCCATTGATTTCTTTGGAGCTGCAGCTCCTCCAATGAAAAGAACCTACCAACGCGTAACCTCTTCTCATTGCGAAAATCCTTAACTGCCTTATTTGCAGTGTAAACATCCTTAAAAACCACAAATGCGACTCCAGCACCCCTCGCTCGTCCTTCTTTGTAAGCAGCCATTTCCATCTCAAGATCAGCTCTCCACTCTTGCAATTTCCTCAGCCTTTCTTCATCTGAGAAACCGAGCTCATGAACAGCACTATACCACGTCTCTTTCACTCTCCTCCATAGAGGATACAACCTTTCTCCTCCTTCTCCATCAATACCAATATCATTGTGATACTCAGCCAAACCTTTCAATTCGATTTTCTGAACCAATTTCGTAATATTCTCCCTCACCTTCACCAATTCTGTAGCTAAATCATCCAATGCACATAAATCCATAGGCACAACCATTCTATATATCTTCCCCGGATACTTATGCTGAAAATAGTCAACAAGTGGAGTCTTATCAAACCCTAACGTTTTCGGAACCCCATGAATCATGATAGTGAAAATGGCACTCGAATTTGCACTCGGATCACTTGGATTCCCATTTCCATCACGAAACCTAGTTATCCTCAACCTTCTTTCAATGTCATTTATGCCATAATGCACCAGAAGAACAATAACAACAACGAATATAAAGTGTACCCAGAGCAGAGGCGAACCTTTGGCAATATGATTTACTGTGGTTTTTGAAAATTCATCCGAAATAGGCGCATTTCCCCCATAGATATTAACAGGAAGCATAACAACAACAGACAAGCACGCGAGGAAGAGAAGAATGCCTGAGCTACCGCCTTCGATGAGAAGAAATTGAGCCGCGTCGGCGCCGCAGTGATGCGATATCTCCCGGCTGGTTGCGTGCCAAACCGCCAGAAGCTTCGAGGCAATCGCTGTAGGACCGGGCACGCGGCGGTGGTCGCTACGAAGCTTCACGAAGATGAAGATCAACAGGCAGGTCAGCGCCCCAATTGCGGAGATATTTACAAGATACTGGATGTTCCCGTACCACGCGTCCTCGAATACTCCGTCTCCATCTCCGGCGGCGGAAGGCGGTGGAGAAAGGGACGCTTCCGCCATAGATGGAGCTGATAGCGGGGAGATAAAAGAAAACCTGGACTCCGAATCTATGGGTTGGAATTGCATAATTAAGGATTTGAATTCGAGGATCAGGCTAGGCAATCGGATGGGATTTTCGCCAGCGATGATTCATCGAATTCTGAGGGGTTAGGGTTCTCACGAGCGAAGATGCTGTCTGATGATGATAGAAGAGGAATTCGGCCGTGTTTGGAATGGAAGAAGCCACCGGTTCAATCCGCGAAATTCTCCAAAGTTCATTTTTACTTTTTCCAAAATATAGTACTAATAAATTCGACAGATCAAGAGGGGTAGAATAGACATTTCACTTCATTTTTCTTAGTAATTGTTAGGTTAGGGTTTATTTTAAGAGGGAAGGTCAGGGAAAGGAAGGGGAAGACACAATTTGTATAAAGTTTTCTTCTCATGATTCGGGGAAATTTAGACGGAATAAAATTTTATTATATACTATTTTTTTTTGTACGTTATAATATCTTTTAAATTTTAAAATATTTACATGCCACTTTTCATTCCACTTAATTAATTAATTTATTTTTTTTTATTATTATTATTTTTTTTTGTTAGTATCACATAATTTGTCATTTTTTAAATATAATTATACATTTTAATCATATTTTAAAATTTATAATTTATAATTTTTTTATTTTAATTAAACTATTTATTTATCTTAATCTTAATCTATAATTATTTTTATTAAATTATAATTATTTTTATTAATACACTTTTTAATTATTTACTAATTATACAATACTTAGAACTCATAACTAAATTAAATGGTACAAATTAAATGGAATGGATGAATATGTTTACTCTTTTTATTCTATTAAATAAGGAAATTATACTAGCAATATATATTGTACATAAATTAAATTATATATCTAAATTATACAATTATATATATTTTAAACTATTTTTAGTTGAATATTTTGAATCATATTATTATAATATATTTTTTAAAAATTTATATAAAAAGTATATAATTATAATCTAATATAAAATATTTAAAAATAAATTAAATTATAAATTATTAAAAATAGTATTAATAATTAACTTAATTAGTGTAACATCATTTTTTTAAATATCATTTTTTTCAAAAATAATAATAAATACAAAATATTTTCTAAAAATTCAAAAAATCAGAAAACGTGTGTTTGTTTTGTGAAAATGAGTTAAAAAAATATATTTTATGTGAGGTACAAAAAATCATATATTGAATATAAAAATAATAAATATGTGTTATAGAGTAATATTTTTGGGAAAACTTGTAAAGAAAAAACTTAAAAAGAACAAACTCGTCAAATATTTATTACAAGGGGAGATGGAAGGATGAAAAAAACAAATTCAGTTCTATACAGAAATGGAATGTTATATCTCATCTCACATGTGTGCTGTGAGAGGAGACACAAGGGGACACGGTGGGGTGGAGACAATAAATCCAGTGCTATGCAGAAAAGAGATGATATCTGATGTCCCACTCCCTATTGTGTCCCATCTCAGATGGGTGTATAGATACACACATATGAAAAACGACATAAGGAGACACGTTGGGATGAGGACAACATATCCAATGCTATTTAGAAAAAGAATGGGATATGATGTTTCCCTCCCTTGGCACAACAGATCCAGTACAATGCGGAAAGGGGATGGGATTTGATGTCCCCCTCCCACTCTGTCCCCTCTCAGATATGTGTATCTATACATACATGTTAAATGGGACACGGTCGGGTAGGAACAACATATCCAATGCATTTAAAAAATGAATGGATCTGATGTCCCCTTCCCTTGGGACAACAAATCCAGTTCTTGCAGAAAAGGGATGTGATATGATGTACCCCTTCCTATTGTGTCGCCTCTCACATGTGTGTGTCTATACACACATGTGAAAAGGGGACACACGGGCACACGGTGGGTTGGGACAACAGATCCAATGCTATGCAAAAGAGTAGGTGAGATCTGATGTCCCCCTACTCAATGTGTCCCCTCTCACATATGTCTATGGACATAGACATAGAGAGGACACAAGAGGACACGGGGTGGGGAGACAACATATTCAGTGCTATCTTATTCTCTATTGTGTCCCCAATCACATAGGTGTATAGATACAAACATGTGAGAGTGGACACGGTGGGCTGAGGACAACAGAACCAGTGCATGCAGAAAAAGGATAGGACCTAATGTCCCCTTCCTTCGAAACAACAGATCCAGTGCTTTGCAAAAAAGGGATAAGATCTAATATCCCTCTCCACATTGGGTCCCCTCTCACATGTTTCTATAGATACACACATGTGAGAGGGAACACAAGAGGACGCAGTCGGGTAGGGACAACAGATCCAGTGCTATGCAGAAAATGGATGGGATCTGATGTCCCCCTCCCTACTGTGTCCCCTCTCATAAGTGTGTATCTATACACAAATGTGATAGGGAATACAACGGGACACAGTGGGGTGTGAACAACAGATCCAATGCAATCCATCAAATGGATGGGATCTGATGTCCCCATCTACATTGTGTCCCATCTCAGATGCGTGTATCTATATATACATGTGATAGGGGACCCGGTGGAGTAAGGACAAAAGATCTAGTGCTATTTAGAAAAATGATGGGGTTTGATGTCCCCTTCCCCGGTGTGTCCAATCTCACATGTGTCTATAAATACACACATGTGAGAGGGGACACAAGGGCACATAGTAGGGTAGGGATAACAGATCCAGTGCTTTGTATAAAAGTTATGTGATCTAATATCCCCCTCCCCACTGTGTTCCATTTCACATGTGTGTGTGTGTATATATACATGTGAGAGGGGACACGGTGGTGTAGGAACAACATATATAGTGCTATGCAGAAAATGGATGGAATATGTTATCCTCCTCACTGGGACAACAGATCCATTGCTATACAGAAAAGTGATGAGATCTGATGTCCTCCACCCCTACTGTTCCCCTCCCACTTGTTTCCCCTTTATACACACAAGTGAGAGGGGACACAGTGGGGAGGAAGACATCAAATCTCATTATTTTTTTGCATACACACATGTGAGAGGGGACAAAAGGGGACACAGTGTGGTGGGAACAATAGATGCAATGCTATGCAAAAAAACGATGGGTTCTGATGTCCCCCTCCCTATTGTGTCCCCTCTCACATGTGTGAATCTATACACAAATTTGTGAGGGGACGTAAGGGGACACGGTGGAGTGGGGACAACAGAGCTATTGCTATGCAAAAAAAAGGGATGGGACCTGATGTCCCCCTCATTGGGGACAAGAGGTTAGTGCTATGTAGAGAAATGATGGGATCTGATGTCCCCCTCCCCACTGTGTCCCTTCTCACAAGTGTGTATAAATACACATATATGATACATGACACAATGGGACACTGTGGGGTGAGGACAACGGATCAAGTATTATGCAGAAAAAGAATAGGATGGGATTCCTCTTCCCTATTGTGCCCCACATCAATGGATATATAGATACACACATGTGAAAAAGGGGACACAAGGGGATACGGTGGGGTGAGGACAACAGATCCAACGTTATGCAAAAAGAAGAATGGAAAGATGTGAGATGGGCCACAAGGGACACAATAGGGGTGGGTATAATAGATCCAGTGCATGTAGAAAAGGGATGGGATCTGATCTCCCATTCCCTTGGGACAACAGATCTAGTGCTATGCAAAAGAAAAATTGGATCTGATGCCCCCCTCCCCACTGTGTCCCCTCTTACATGCGTGTATCTATACACACATATGAGAGGGAACACAAGGGGACACGGTGTGGTGGGGACAATAGATCTATTTCTATGCAGAAAATGGATGGGATCTGATGTCCCCCTTCCTACTGTGTCCCATCTCACATTTTTGTATCAATACACACATGTGAGAAGGGACACAAGGGGACACGTTGGGTTGGAGATAACATATCTAGTACTATGCAGAAACGAGATGGGATCTGATGTCTCTCTCCCCACTGTATCCCCTCTCACATGTGAGAAGGGACATAATGGGACACTGTGGGATAGGAACAACAAAATCAGTATATGCAGAAAAAGGATGGGATCTGATGTCCCACTCCCTGAGGACAACAAATCCAGTGCTATGCAAAAAATGAATGAGATCTGATGTCCCTGTCCTCACTGTATCCCCTCTCATATGGGTGTATAGATACACATATGTGAGAGGGGGCACAAGTATATACGGTAGGGTGGGGACAACAGATCCATTGTATGCAAAGATACTTGATTCTAACAAGGATCCATTTAGATATAAAGAAAATAATGAAAAGATACTTTGTCCGAAAGTATCATATTTCAGTGCAATAGGTACATTCATGTACCTAGTAACGTGGTTGTCCAAGCTTAGAAAAAAATATTATTGAAGATGACTTGGTTAACATTACAATTATTTTGTATTTGACGTAAAAGTGCCCAGATGAGTCATTCTGAAACCAAGATCACAAGAACTGGATTTCAAGACTAAGACAACAAATATGGAAGAATCTTAAAGTTACCTTATTAAATATTATCTTTTATTGTAGGTTTCCGTATTCTATGTTTAGAGTTTCCTTATTATTTATTGTCTTGTGTAGGTATTTTCTTTTACTTTATTTCATTTTGTTGGATATTTTCTTTTATTTTCTAGTTGCCTCTATAAAAGGCCTTTGATATCACTGTAATAAAGTCAGAGTGAATCTTGAATACAATTTCTTTATTATTCACTCTCAATATTTGTCTAAACTATGATGTGATTTCCTTTCATTTAGATATTTCAAATCGGGTCTTTGGAGTGATTCCATCGGTACGTGGCTTCCAATCATTTGTTTTGGGATTTAGCCTATTGTTCGTGTTTAAACCTATCATTTGATTTCAGGTTGATACTTATTCTCGTGGTTAGTTATCATCCATATTAATTCACATTTTCTGCACAATATTTTCTTCTTCATTCTCTTTTCTTTCATCAATCTTCTGAATCTATTGGTTGTATTGAACTTTGTAGATAAGAAAAATACTTTTGGTATAATTATATACCGTCGGACCGTGTCATATGGTATCAGAGCCTTGTGCTCAAGTTTTCTCTCAACTTGAATCGTCCATAGTCGATTTTGTTTTAAAAAATAAAGAAAAGAAAAGAATCAATTTGTGGTATTTGTCAACCATCCGTTATCTATAATATTTTCTTTCTCCACTTTGTTTTAGATTTTTGTTGCCATTGTCTTTGGAAAAATTGAGTTTTCTTATGAACTGTATAGTCGATGAATATCGCGTTTGAGATAACAAGAGTAATTTTCAAGAAGAGGGGAATAGCACGGCCATCCAAACTTAGAAAAATAAATTATTGAAGATAGACTTGCTAGGCATTACAATTTTTTGTATTGACTCAAAGGTCACCCAGCCGAGTCATT